AGAAATTTCATTAATCCTGCCCCTTTCTCCAAACATGTTGCATTTATTAATTAGCTCTCAACTTTTATGAATATTTAGAAATTTCATAATCCTGCCTTTTTATAATTTATCCAAACATTGTTACATGTGGTCTTCGGAAATGATTATGTATATTAGGTTTCATATATGGCAACGTTTTCCAATAACGATGAATACCTACATGTATATATGCAAAGAATTATTTACCAACAAGAACCTTTCAAAAAATTGTCAAAATCTTCTTTACCTAAATCTGATGCGCTACTATGCACACATTTTGCGATGGAGATAAAGTATTGGAATAAAACATGTGCAGCAATTTTTCAGAATTGATGGGTTTACCAGCCAAACATTTTTGCAACAAATTGCTGATAAGGTAATAATGTTTAACTTAAGGGAGATTGCCATGCAACAGTTCTGACCAATTTTCTAAAGTAAGTAGTAATTTGTGGTGCTGAGCACCTACAAGGGCTGGTATTACTGTCCATTAGGATATTGCTGTACCAACCGGGACAGATTCTAGTGTATGTAGATGTATATTTTTGTATATTTGTATGAAGCAAGTTGTATTAGCTCGCACCAATAACTCTACCTCACTGCACACATACTATCATTATGTATGATAAAACTCTCCTAGTTATACTGTAAGGGCGGCACCTAATGATGGGTCTACAGCCCTGCTCAGCTCAATGTCTGCAGCCAGCCTTTGAATACGGCACAAAATGATGTGGCAAAACCCTACTTATGGAGATCCATCGATGGCAAGCCGGGATGTATATAAAAAATCAATTTATACCAAATACTCGGGGGATATTATTACAGATGCAACTTCTGTTCTGATATTATTAGGCAGTTTGTCGGAGCACAAATGCTGTAATAATTCTACACGGATACCATTGGGGGTTCATCACTTTTACCGAATATTATACTGGATATGTTTGACATTTACCTCCCAGTCAAGTTCAGATCTGTGTTCCTGCAATAACTCTTTCCTGGCACATCTGCTAGGATTTACACATTTAACAAACATTCAAGTACAAAAATCTGCTGGAATATATATAGGTGTGCTTGGATCTCACTACAGACCATCATCATCCAGAACAAAAGTGCTCAAATGCCAAGATTTTACAGTGTTGTTTATCTGTACGTCTCTTGCATACTTTATACAGCCAGCACTCATCATGAGGGTTACGTTAGAAAAAATCAGACGTGTTCCTTCAAGTAGGTCGTCAAGTGCAGTCTTAAACGATCATGGTACCGTGATAATGAATGGTAATGCAAGATACAAACCCACTTAACCTTCTTATCTGTTTCGTTTCCAATGATATATGTGAATTGCTTTTGTTCCACAAAAAAGTATCTGAAGAAGATTTTTGTTGGTCTATTATTCATCAAAGGTATTTATATAACGTTTCTTTGCTACAGAATAATGATGCTGGTGACTAGTTGTCTTCTCGTCATCTAGAACAAACAGCTAAACATCTACGAAAACAATGCATGAATAGGTTCCAACATCAATGTTGACTGGTCGACATTCTATACTATTCTTCGGAAATATTGCACTTCTCAATATACACACCCAAAAGCTAACTTCATTCATCAAATATGTCGTAACAAATAAAACAAATATATCGGTAACTCAATTTGAGGGTTGGCAAATTAAAGGAGGCAGTGATAAATTATCACTCTTGATCAAGTTGATAGCAATACAGGATGCTTTGTGTTAGCGGTACACAGGAGGGAGAGGGGAACAGAAACACGTCTGTTTCTATCACTATACAAAAACCAGAACTCATGTTCGTGATCCTTTATTTCATCCTGCAAAAACAATAATTAGACAATTTTGGCAAATTTAAACAAGCATGCATACTATCATCATCCCATTCCTGGACTAATGAGGTGTGATGTACACCAGGTACCCACTTTGTTCCATCACAACAGCCAACCCTACTAGTCCAAGGCTGAGGCAACATAACTGATGTGGGGAATATCAAAGGAAAGGGAACACAAGGTGTACCAGGTTACATGTCTCAATGGGCCACAGCTGATGGAAAATGCCATCAGGCGGATGTAGTACACAATCTCACTTGATACTGCTGTATCTTATCATTACAACATTCTTCTAGAGTAAAGTGCTACAACCAAGCAGGTTTTTTTGGCAACTTCCTGCCAAAAAATGTTGGCCAAGCCCAGGTGATGGTATTTGAGGTCAAGATAACACTGTTTGTAGTAGTTTTCCTGAGTATGGCACCCCTCCCCAATCTTTGTTATTTTATCGAAACAATTCCCATCTCGAATACTCACTATCAATGTGCTAACATGGGTTTTGGACAGAATCTTGTGAAAGATGCCAGTGTACAGTAGGATCCCAACAAACGTCGTTTGGTGTATTCCTTCAATGATGAAGGTTGAACCTTCCCCCAAACACACACAGAGTATAAGTAACTTACGTTTGGTTGCCAGGGTAATATAAACATTTGTTCAGATGATGCTTTACCTACATGATGACCAGCTTATTATAATAAGAATTGGCAGATGGTCAGCAAAAATTCAAGACTGTGTGCTGCCAAATATATTGGCACTCCTTTATCAGCTGAAATTAGAGTTGGCCTGCCAATCTCACTTGAGGTCAGTGTAACATTCTTGACCAGTACCAGACAGCATGTCATGCTGTGGTAAGGGCCATTTTACATATCTAATAGCCTAGAGATTAGCCCTTCCCTGATCATGACATCTGTACCACTCACTGTATACTTAAGAATCAGTAATGCTATTTCACTCTGCATGTACCTAGCTACTACTAAGCTTTGCCAAGGATGACTGAATCCACCTTTTAACCCTGCCCCTATCATCTGGCCTATCTTCAATGATATCACTTTGTTTTCACTACAAACTTGCCCCAGGTGTATATCTTGTAGTAAGCTTTGGAATGTGTTGCCACTACACTATTTTATCAATGTGTAAGAACTTAAAGGAGTGAAGAATTGGCTGGGCCAGCAAGTATGTAGATTCGGCAAAAGACAGGAAATGGGGTTGTTCTCACACCCACTTCTGTGAACTACTTTTTCAAATATCAAGTATTAAATTTTGAAATTGAGTATCTGCATGTCCCAAAGTGTTACAAGAAACGACGCATATTCTCTCCACTTGACTTGATAGACCTAACATAATATTCCTTCAAGCAAAAAAATATTAAGAGTCAAGTCATTCACCCCTGAAATTTCACAATGAACTATTCCAACCTCTGAATTGGAAGAGTTCAAATTAAATGTGTCTTCAGGGGTGAATGAGTTAAACTTAGCTATTATACTGATACCAATATTTTCATATTGCAACAGATGAAAATTGTAAATTGATATATTTTAATATTTTAGAGGATTCTGTGATTAACTTTTGCAATTTACTGATGAGAAAGAAATCCAATGGATATCTTAAAAGGTACATTTCAATTTGTCACTTTCAATTGTAAAACTAAACTAGTACAAGCCTGAACGAGATGTTTTATCATAACAATTATTATTCTGTACAAAACTGAAGTCTATTCTAAAATCTTACTTTGAACAATGATTTGAAAACAGTAATAAACCAAAATATTGAAGTTCAAATTGCATTGCTTTTTCAAAACCATAATACACATATATGATGTTCAATGCTTGAAGCTTATTTCACAATATGCTGCACTTTTCATTTGTATTGCTCACCCCTATAAACTGTATTGACACTCACCCACCACCCTCCCTCACCGCCTCACTGCCCACATACAAACTCACTTCCTCTTCCATTTTCATTGTTGTTTGTTTGTAAACATTATATTCTAATACATTATGCATGACATACTAACCAAATAGTCTTATATGTTAATGCACATACAATGAAATATTGACATGACTACATTTGCCTGGCTGTACTACAGAAGTAAGTATCTGCAGGTACGTAAACACACAGGATACCGACACCCCTAACCCCGAAACCCCTAACCCTGACTCAATTCACATGATTGCTTCATCACACACATTGCTCCATCTGTTACCATCAAAAGTCAGCTTCTTTATTATACTGTCAACTATATATACACAGCATTAATTCTTTCATTAATGTGATGAATTCTGTCAAGTAGACAACTTGCAAAGCCACACAAAAAACATCCAACAGTTTTTCTTCATCGCATTATTAAATTTATTCTATAAATCTAATTAATTGTGCATTACACAGAATAGTGTCCCCATTCAAACCAACATGTGTAGCCTTTATTGTGCACAGGCTAGTAATTAGCTGTACAGGAAAGGGTAAATGATATGTATTGAATTCTATATTGTAATTTGTTGAAATGCAGAATCAATAGAGCTCTGTATGAAATAAAGTCTGTACTGAACCTGTCAATAGTTCAAGTAGTTACAAATTCTACCAACTGTCTACATACATGTGATCAGGCAAGACAAACCACCATAACAAACCATAACTACAACAGAAAAATACTGTAGATCTATCTCATGTTTTGCTTTCCTGAAAAAATACCCAGCATGAGTATACAAGTTCCTAAAGCATACAGAAAGGACTCTTTCAGATACTTTATTTGCCATAATGAGAGCCCCTTAACCTTTTGAATGATTTTAGTACCTCTTTACCCAAGACACTGAAGACAGCCTTCATTCTGGCCCTATATGGTTAGGAAAATATATTTCTATATAGACCTTATATATATCAGACATTAGTCTCATAATCCGACTGTTTTCCATTGTTTTAGAAATAGAAAAAGAGAAACAATTTTTGAATCTCCCCGAGAATGTGTCTGGCACTTATATTGCCTTGATAGCAAGTGCCACAACTCATGTTTTGTTATTTTAACATTTAAGTGTCCCTTCAACCAATTTTTTATGCACCCTGGGAGGCACTAACTATGGCAAATACTGTAATTGGTATTTTAGATCAAAGTGTTTTCAATAAACATTGAAGTTGTTACATAACAAGGTGTTTGTACTTACTTGAGGGTATTTAATGTTAAAATAGGACTCTAAGTTTTCAAATAGATGTGGATCAACTCCCAACAGCGGCTTGATGATGGAGACACCGGGGAGCTCCTCCAAAGGGACCGCAGGAGTCAATTTCCTGTTGAATTTCCATCTCCTGCACACAGAATCAAAAATATTTAATTCCAACAAATTGATTTCTGCATGCATATATACATGTATAATTGTGGATTGTTACTGAATGTGTATATAATAAAAGCAGATTAAACCTTTGGGGTTTCAGATACTTGCAATAGCTAACTAAGGTCATTTGAAGAAATTGTCAATGGATGATGGGACACTGATGGACCACTTTTAAGTGTAATCTCACTGAAATGACATTTATAGGCTAGACACAGTAGAATGGCATTCCACCCAGTCATATTATAATGACAACAGCTAAACCACTCCTTTCCAACAACCATTTAAGTTAATGCCAAGTAAATATCACACCGAAACTTTTATATAGATTATTCAACCTAAACAAAATAGTGCTGTGTTTCTGGATTCATCCTCTAAAATCCTAGGGTTGGTATATACGTAAGTAGGGAATGTTTCATTGTCTTTTCTTTTTTAGATAGCTTATATCGTATAGGTATCATATCTAATTAAAACTAGACTTGAAATTTCACTACTTTACGATACACTATAATGCAAAATGGTATCGTAGAGGAGTAGAATTACAAGTCTAATTTTATTTAGATTGAACAGGGATCTTGTCATATTAATGCTTGTTTAAAAACTTGGCTGTCAAAAACTGGATCTGTTTAGAAATTAGAAAGCGATTTTTGTTGTTTAGGTTATGCTTCTAAGACATGGTACTGTATTCTTGTAAAACATATGTATACATAATAAATGTACAGTAATGTGTATTTCATCTATTTCTGAATGTTATATAATGCGTACATTTGTACCTACATGTATACTGAACAGCAATATAGATGTGGCTAGTAGACCTTGGATGAAGATACATTTCAATGCTTACTATGTGCCTGTTATAGATCTCTATCTAGTACACATACTGATAACAGTGTAGAATGAACAACAAATGTTGATACTGCTAGTGTGTAATCCTGTCCTCCGTATGTGGCTGGTAGCTATATAGCCATACACTACAAAAATGTCACAGTAGATTGCAGACAGCTGTATCTCTGGAAATGCTTATGTCTACAAATTCTCCCAGAATGAATAGCAAAACATATAACACATATTGAAGTAAACTAGACTTTTTTCACTGGCCATAAATTCAACCACTGGTACAGTTGGAATTACATGTTATAATTAAGTGCAATTTGAAGCAAAAACCATGTATCATACACTGATATCAATAAACAACATGTCAAAATAGTTGTTCTCCTCTTTATTGATTAAGTCTCACCAGAACAAATATCTCAATAATTATTTTATTGATTTTATTTTTCAATATATTTTTAAAAATGTTCAGTTGTAGTCTTGTGAGAATGAGATAAAAGTAAAACTTTGAACTGGAATCTATGGACAGGAAATTCTGTACTTCAAATAATTATTTTGAAAAAGTATAACTTCTTTTATTTTTTTTATTTTTTCATATTGCAATTTGTTAGCTCTAAGTCTACATTCAAATACAATTTTGTCTTTCAATAGCCCTCCAACCCTCTAAAAAATAGCCATTTCCTCTGTATGTCAATGAAGCCTTCAGGCATTCTAACTTCAAAAGTACAGTGTTGAATGCTTAAGGGCTTGGCTAAGGAAAGATATATTGTTGGTTCCCTTTTGTTGCTATGTTCTGTAAGGCGTCCTTTGTCCGGATATTATGTAAGGAATACAAATGACAGTTTTGCCCCCTGGTTGGAAAAAAATAAAACTATTTTTTTAACAAAAGAATACTGGTATTAATTGTCTCCTGATTTAAAGATACGAAGGCATTTTTTTCCCTATATGCATGCAGCTGGAAGTTCCAGTAGATATTTCATCTAGCATGTGTCACTAATTAATGAAGTTCGTTATGAACAGCGATTCTAGACTCTATGACAAGCACATTTATTAGTTGGACTTGGACAGTGCAAACATTATCAAAAGTATTTTAATTGAGTAACAACATTTCAAGTTTTCAGTTGATCATTCAAAAATAGCATTACCATTAATATAGAATAGAAATGAAAACCCCCAGCCAATTTCAGTCAGCACAAACCAACCCAATACCTGCAAAAAGCTGCAATGTTAATTAGTAATTAAGAAGAGAGTAAAATTCTGTAGTAAATTATAAACAGTGTGGATATTAGCTAGTGGATGTGTCAACTGATTATAAGATCATTATTAATTTAGTAAAAAATCTGATGACGTAAAAAAACACAAAAAATAGCTTACTTATACTGACATGAGCTTTGATTTATTGGACAGCATCTAATATTCCAGTTCAAAGGTCTATCTAACAGTTAGGTTTTCACGCATCAAGTTAGCGTTGGTATAGTCAGTATAAGCGCATATGTGCATTGATATTCAGTAGACTGTATATTCATTACAATTGCTTATAAATATATAAAGTTTTGCATCCAACATTATATGAATATATATATATATAGACTTTACATTACAGTTCGCAGGCAGTAACATTACAGTAAATGTGTGTAATCCAGTAAGTTACATATATGTCAAAAAGGCAATATTAATACATGTTTCTCAAGTAATACGCAAATCTGGAGAGATTATTGTCAAGTACTCACCCGTAAATTAGTGATACGATATGTAAAGACCAGTTAAAAATCCATGCTGCAAATATAAATGTTGTAAGTCCCAATAAAGTGTAATCGACAGTTTCCATCTTCCATCTCTCTGGCTGTTCAGCATCAGCCGGTCATTTATTGTCCCACAATTCCTTCTACGGGCGCGGCTTCACATCCGTTGCAGACGCTTGAAAGATAACTAGCATCTCATGCCTCTTTACAAACGCATCGGTGAGTTGCTATAGGTTATTCGAGGCACAAGATGAGGTCATCGTCGCTGACGGAGGCGCTATCACCGTCCAATGATTCACGAAGGGGGCGTGGCACATTAGGTACTGTATGTCAAACATTCCCGCGGGCGCGACTCCAATTTCTATTCATTGTAATCATGAATTGTGAACAATAGTGAATACTAACTGTATTGCGTGTCTTAAAGTTATAAAGTAAAACACTATATACTGTCATACAATTATTTGATTTGATGTCGGCTTTTCTGATTTGCTCACATTCTATTTAATCTACAATTAAGCAGCAAAAAGGAAACCAGGCTTATGGGCTAAACGCTTATTTGTGTTGATCACACGTAGATAAAATCCGTTAGAGATATCCTCTTAAGAAAAGCTTACACAAGTATATTCATGATTAAGCGACGTAATTTTAGTTGACAGATGATGGAATCAGATATGCAAAACATTGTCAGTCACTGGGAAGTATCTACTTACTGGTAGGAGCATTCAGTTATAACATTAACGTATAACAATACGTACCGCCTTGGGGTCAAAGTAATTATCTACAATGTTCACCAACATAGTAATTTTGTCACCAAGAAACTACAAGCAAGCAAGAGTTGCCTTTCTTTGGAATCCAATGCAAGATGCAAGTATGTGGCAGACGCCGTTCTAGATATTGATAAAATGAGTGGTGGTGGCTTACACCAAGCGAAAGTTTTTGGGGCGGTGGGGGACCTTGCCGAGCGAACCGAAGGAAAATGCAACAACGACATCTGAATGTTTCTTTCATTAGTATATTAAATTTTGTTATTTTGATGGAACTCCGTCCTTAAATGACCTTAGCTGTTAATAGGACGTTAAACAAAATCAAACAAACAAAAAATTGTTGGAACTATCAAGTTCAATGCCCGAAAATATGTATATCTAATAGACGAATAGACATTGATCAATGCTCTATACCACAAAATCAGATTAGATATTAGTCCGTGTATAGATACTGTGGAGTACTGTAAACACGTCATAATATGTGACCAATGCCTGTTATTACACTAAGCTGCTACATACGAAACAGTCAGATGATGACCGGATTATCAGTGATGATATAAGAGCGATAACGACCACTGAATCACTGACACGTTATCAATATTGACAGATGTACATTTTCACGTAGTATAAATTAGGTGACACACTTGACCTGTAGTACATCCTGTTATCAAAGGTCCACAGAAATCGAACTAATTGAGTTATTTTTTAAGTTCATCACGCAAGTTACACGATCTAATAATGTTTTAGTCAATCTTTAGGCAAAGCAAAAGAGTAAAAGAGGGCATAGGGAGGATATAGAGGGTGTAGGAGGATATAGAGAGCATATGGAGGATATAGAGGGTGTAGGAGGATAAAGAGGGTGTTGGGAAGATATAGAGGGTGTGGGATATAGGGGATGTGGGATATAGGGGATGTGGGAGGCTTCATGAGGCGTTGGAGGATATAGAGGGTTTGGGAGGATATAGAGGGCATGGGAGGATATAGGAGGTGTGGGAGGATATAGAGGGCGTGGCAGGATATAGAGGGTGTGGTAGGATATAGAGGACATGGTGACCTTTGAGCATATGGAGGATATAGAGGGGGTGATGGAGGATATAGGAGGTGTGGGAGGATATAGGAGGTGTGGGAGGATATAGAGGGTGATGGAGGATATAGGAGGTGTGGGAGGATATAGGAGGTGTAGGAGGATAAAGAGGGTGTTGGGAAGATATAGAGGGTGTGGGGGATATAGAGAGCATATAGAGGATATAGAGGATATAGAGGGTGTAGGAGGATAAAGAGGGAATAGGAAGGATATAGAGGGTGTGAAAGGATATATAGAGCATATGGAGGATATAGAGGATATAGAGGTTGTAGGAGGATAAAGAGGGTGTGGGGAAGATATAGAGGGTGTGGGGGATATAGAGAGCATATAGAGGATATAGAGGATATAGAGAGTGTAGGAGGATAAAGAGGGCATAGGGAGGATATAGAGGGTGTGAAAGGATATAGAGAGCATATAGAGGATATAGAGGATATAGAGGGTGTAGGAGGATAAAGAGGGTGTTGGGAAGATATAGAGGATGTGGGGGATATAGAGGGTGTGGGGGATATAGAGGGTGTGGGGGATATAGAGAGCATATAGAGGATATAGAGGATATAGAGGGATTAGGAGGATAAAGAGGGTGTGGGGAAGATATAGAGGGTGTGGGGGATATAGAGAGCGTATGGAGGATATAGAGGGTGTACGAGGATAAAGAGGGTGTGGGGAAGATATAGAGGGTGTGGGGGATATAGAGAGCATATAGAGGATATAGAGGGTGTAGGAGGATAAAGAGGGTGTGGGGAAGATATAGAGGGTGTGGGGATATAGAGAGCGTATAGAGGATATAGAGGGTGTAGTAGGATAAAGAGGGTGTGGGGAAGATATAGAGGGTGTGGGGGATATAGAGAGCGTATGGAGGATATAGAGGGTGTAGGAGGATAAAGAGGGCGTGGGGAAGATATAGAGGGTGTGGGGATATAGAGAGCGTATAGACGATATAGAGGGTGTAGTAGGATAAAGAGGGGGTGGGGAAGATATAGAGGGTGTGGGGGATATGGAGAGCATATAGAGGATATAGAGGGTTTAGAGGGATAAGAGGGTGTAGGAGGATAAAGAGGGTGTTGGGAATAAATAGAGGGTTTGGGGGATATAGAGGGTGTGGGGGATAAAGAGGGTGTGGGGGATATAGAGAGGATATAGAGGATATAGAGGGTGTAGTAGGATAAAGAGTGTGTGGGGAAGATATAGAGGGTGTGGGGGTATAGAGAGCGTATAGAGGATATAGAGGGGGTAGTAGGATAAAGAGGGTGTGGGGAAGATATAGAGGGTGGGGGGATATAGAGAGCGTATAGAGGATATAGAGGGTGTAGTCGGATAAAGAGGGTGTGGGGAAGATATAGAGGTTGTGGGGATATAGAGAGCGTATAGAGGATATAGAGTGTGTAGTAGGATAAAGAGGGTGTGGGGAAGATATAGAGGGGGTGGGGATATAGAGAGCGTATAGAGGATATAGAGGGTGTAGTCGGATAAAGAGGGTGTGGGGAAGATATAGAGGGTGTGGGGGTATAGAGAGCGTATAGAGGATATAGAGGGTTTAGGAGGATAAAGAGGGTGTTGGGAATAAATAGAGGGTGTTGGGGATATAGAGGGTGTGGGGGATAAAGAGGGTGTTGGGAAGATAAAGAAGATGTGGGGGATATAGAGAGCATATAGAGGATATAGAGGGTTTAGAGGGATAAGAGGGTGTAGGAGGATAAAGAGGGTGTGGGGAGATATAGAAGGGGTGGGGGAAATAGAGAGCATATGGAAGATATAGAGGATATAGAGGGTGTAGAGGGTGTAGGAGGATAAAGAGGGTGTTGGGAAGATATAGAGGGTGTGGGGGATATAGAGAGCATATAGAGGATATAGAGGATTTAGAGGGATAAGAGGGTGTAGGAGGATAAAGAGGGTGTGGGGAGATATAGAAGGGGTGGGGGAAATAGAGAGCATATGGAAGATATAGAGGATATAGAGGGTGTAGAGGGTGTAGGAGGATAAAGAGGGTGTTGGGAAGATATAGAGGGTGTGGGGGATATAGAGAGCATATAGAGGATATAGAGGATATAGAGGGTGTAGGAGGATAAAGAGGGTGTTGGGAAGATATAGAGGGTGTGGGGGATATAGAGAGCATATAGAGGATATAGAGGGTTTAGAGGGATAAGAGGGTGTAGGAGGATAAAGAGGGTGTGGGGAGATATAGAAGGTGTGGGGGAAATAGAGAGCATATGGAAGATATAGAGGATATAGAGGGTGTAGAGGGTGTAGGAGGATAAAGAGGGTGTTGGGAAGATATAGAGGGTGTGGGGGATATAGAGAGCATATAGAGGATATAGAGGGTTTAGAGGGATAAGAGGGTGTAGGAGGATAAAGAGGGTGTGGGGAGATATAGAAGGTGTGGGGGAAATAGAGAGCATATGGAAGATATAGAGGATATAGAGGGTGTAGAGGGTGTAGGAGGATAAAGAGGGTGTTGGGAAGATATAGAGGGTGTGGGGGATATAGAGAGCATATAGAGGATATAGAGGATATAGAGGGTGTAGGAGGATAAAGAGGGTGTTGGGAAGATATAGAGGGTGTGGGGGATATAGAGAGCATATAGAGGATATAGAGGGTTTAGAGGGATAAGAGGGTGTAGGAGGATAAAGAGGGTGTGGGGAGATATAGAAGGTGTGGGGGAAATAGAGAGCATATGGAAGATATAGAGGATATAGAGGGTGTAGAGGGTGTAGGAGGATAAAGAGGGTGTTGGGAAGATATAGAGGGTGTGGGGGATATAGAGAGCATATAGAGGATATAGAGGGTTTAGAGGGATAAGAGGGTGTAGGAGGATAAAGAGGGTGTGGGGAGATATAGAAGGTGTGGGGGAAATAGAGAGCATATGGAAGATATAGAGGATATAGAGGGTGTAGAGGGTGTAGGAGGATAAAGAGGGTGTTGGGAAGATATAGAGGGTGTGGGGGATATAGAGAGCATATAGAGGATATAGAGGGTTTAGAGGGATAAGAGGGTGTAGGAGGATAAAGAGGGTGTGGGGAGATATAGAAGGTGTGGGGGAAATAGAGAGCATATGGAAGATATAGAGGATATAGAGGGTGTAGAGGGTGTAGGAGGATAAAGAGGGTGTTGGGAAGATATAGAGGGTGTGGGGGATATAGAGAGCATATAGAGGATATAGAGGGTTTAGAGGGATAAGAGGGTGTAGGAGGATAAAGAGGGTGTGGGGAGATATAGAAGGTGTGGGGGAAATAGAGAGCATATGGAAGATATAGAGGATATAGAGGGTGTAGAGGGTGTAGGAGGATAAAGAGGGTGTTGGGAAGATATAGAGGGTGTGGGGGATATAGAGAGCATATAGAGGATATAGAGGGTTTAGAGGGATAAGA